TGCCTGGGAGCACAGCAGTGCCACCCCCACCCTGTGTGCTGACAGCAGCGATTCCTGCAGCCCCTGGAGCTGATCCCAGTCACCATCTGGCTGCATCAACAGCTGCAGCTGAGCTCAGGGACAGCAGGAGGGAGCTGGGGGAGGGCCAGGGCTGGGCACTGCTGTTCTTAGCAGCAGCGTTGGCTTAAACCTGCACGTGGCTGCAGGCTAAGAGAGAGAAGGAGCTCCAAAGCAAATCGTGAGCCTGAGGGAAAGTTCTTGGAGAGAAACTTCTTACAAGGCATGGAGTGACAGCACGAGGGGGAATGGCTTCCCACTGCCAGGGGGCAGGGAGAGATGGGATATTGGGAGGACAGTGAGGCACTGGCTCAGTTCTCCCAGAGAAGCTGTGGCTGCCCCTGCATCCCTGGAAGTGTTCCAGGCCAGGTTGGGTGAGGCTTGGAGAAAGTGAAAGGTTCCCTTGGCCATGGCAGGGGTCGGAATGAGATGGTCTTGAAGGTCTCTTCCAACCCAAACCATTGTGGGATTCTGGAATTCTCCTTCATCCTGTTCTCGTGTCTTTGGCACTGCAGTGGGGTCATTCCTTCTGCTGTTCAGCAAGCTGAGGTGTCAGGTCCTTGCTAAATTCCTGCATGTGATGTGGAAAGACTGTGATGCTCAGCTTTGATACTGCAAGAGGAAGGCCTGAATTTAGCAGCAGGGTGAGGTAGAAATTGGATTAAAATTCAAAGATAAGGATTTGCTCAGGTTCCAGCATGAGATTCTCCTGCTTCAGCCCTGGTGTCTGATGAAAACCCTAAACTTACAAACCTTGCACTGTTCAACCTTGTTCATTCCCCTCACTTACATTTTTTAACTTTCAAATTATGAAAATATTTTTTTATGTGACAGTGTACTACATGGAATTAAAATACAGCTGAAGAAGTACTCATCTTTAGGAGCTTTTGGATTCTTGGGATAAAAACATTCAACTCAAATGTTTTGAATTTTATACAAAAGGGAAACTGAGAAGTTTTCCAGGGAGTTAATAATTTTAATAAGCAGCCTTGCAGAAATCAGAACTTGCTGGAGGCTCAGCATTGGTTTAGAAATTGATTTCCACTGAATTGTAACCATGGCCACTCTCTTAGTAAATAGATGTGCATAAAGCATCAGGCTTAATATATTAGGACACCAAGTTCCTTTAGTAGATGGAGTGTTGGAAGTGGAAAGGGACTGAGTTATGACCACTTGGAGAGAAGTTTTCTGGGCTTTTACAGCATTTAAGTGATAAGAACATTGCCTTGATGGAGCTTTTGCACTTCATGTTGATTCTTGTAACCACAAGTTGGTAACTTTGGGATTTAATTATATAACATGAGCTCTTGGCCGCCACACATTCCTGTTTTAATGGAAGGGCTGATACAGCTGCTGATTCCAGTTAATTTATCAGCCCAGTGGGCAGCTCTGTTTGCACTGAAATCCAAGTTTGGGAGCTGGATGTGTATTTTATTGGCATCCCTAAGGGGAAGGGTGATTTATTCCTAACGGGTGCTGGTGTTTTATGGACAGATTATGAAGCAATCGTGAAGCTTTCAGATGGCTTCAACGGAGCAGACTTGAGAAACGTCTGTACTGAAGCAGGTAATTCCTTAACTCTTCATTTGGATGTGATAAATCTTGGATAATGCTGAATCTTGGAGCTGTTCCTCTGTGGATTAAACCCAGGAGCTCAGAAGTGTTCTGCTGGAACAGAACATTGAGCTGATCTGAGTCAGCCACTTGTTGGTTGATCATGATGTGTCCCACTGTCTCATTAGAACCAGATACACTCCAGAAACAGGGATTGAACCCATTTTCCTCCTTTTTGGAGAGAATTCAGGGCTCTTGGTACCCATGTGCCTGCAGAGTTGATGCTATTTTATGCTTTTTTCACATGAAAATTTGTGCACTTGGGGTTTGCCTGCACGGGCAGGCTGAGTAACACAGTAAATGCACACTCAGAGTTTAAAGAAGTTTTCTTTTTAGTACTCCCTTCGTTCAGAAAGGTGAATTCCCTCCTCTTCCCAACATCCAAAACATGGGAAGGTCATGCAGATTGTGTAACCTGGATCAGTTTTTGTTTGAATTTGGGTGAAACTTCATATTCTGTCTCTTCACACTGTTAAATCCTCCCTCCCAGGGATGTTTGCTATCCGTGCTGATCATGACTTCGTAGTTCAGGAAGATTTCATGAAAGCTGTCAGGAAAGTGGCTGATTCCAAGAAGCTGGAATCCAAGCTTGACTACAAACCTGTGTAAATGAACCATAGAATTTGTGATTGATTGTACACATCCTACTGGGTTAATGCATAAAAAAAAAAAAGGAGAGAAATAATGTACCTCTTGATTATCATTGTAAGGTGTTTGTGTAGCATGTAGCTAGTAATTTTGGGAATGCTAGTTGCAAGTTGGCTACAGGAGTGTGTTTTCTGTACAATTCTGAAATGCAATGTTCGTTACAGCCCAGGCTCAGTAAAAATGTGTGGAGATGTGTTGTTCTCTTAGCAATTATGGTGGGAATTTATAAACGTGCCTGAAGGGATTCACAAACAGAAGAAAGTCAGTTCATTTCTTGACTTTTTGTATATCAGTAAATCTCCTTTCCCCAAACAGTTTATGAATAAAACCTGTTTAAATCTGTTTATCCTGGTGGATTTTGTGTGTAGCTCTCCCAGAGAGGTGAATTTTGTGTCTTCTGAGTTGGAGGAGCAACTTTTCTCTGGTGTAAGGATTGGAGTCCTGAGCCTAACAGAGGCAGCCTAACCCTTGGAGAGAGAAGGGACTGGTGGGGTCTGGACAATCCTTTCCATGAAGAAGTTTTCCCTAATATCCAATTTAAACCTCCCCTAGCCCAGCCTGAGGCCGTTCCCTCTGCTCCTGTCCCTGTTCCCTGGAGCAGAGCCCGACCCCCCCGGCTGTCCCCTCCTGGCAGGAGCTGTGCAGAGCCACAAGGTCCCCCCTGAGCCTCCTGAGCTCCAGGCTCAGCCCCTTCCCAGCTCCCTCAGCTTCTCCTGGGGCTCCAGACCCATTCCCAGCTCTGTTCCCTGCTCTGGACACGCTCCAGCCCCTCAGTGTCCTTTCCAGAGGGGCCCAGAGCTGCCCCCAGGCTGGAGGTGGCTCAGCAGTGCCAGCACAGGGGACAGGCAGTGCCCTGCTCCTGTGGCCACACCGTGCCTGCTACAGGCCAGGTGCCCTTGGCCCCTTTGCCCACCTGGGCACTCATTTGCTGCTGAATTCTGGAAATAGGATTTACCTGAGCTGGTGTTTATTTGCTGCAAGAGGTAAACAAGGTGGTGGTGGTTTTAAGGGCATCTGCTTTACTTTTATTTTTATTTTCCAAGCAGTTTCACCCCGAGGGGTGCACACAGACCCACTGCACTGTGCAGCTCACCTGAATGTTGCACTGGAGCAGCAATGCACGAAATTGCACGTCTGGCTACTTCTAATTATCTTAATTGGATTATTCTGGGCCTGCTCAGCTGACAGACAAGTACATTAGCTCTTGACTTCCCAGGAAACACACAGCATCTCCCTGGCAATTATAACAGCTGTAGTTTTATTTCCTTTCCCATCACAGATCAGACAGATGGTCTGAGATGTAGAACAGTTAAAACAGGACAGGCAACAATATTTCCCTGTTTATATGGCTGTTACAGACCTTTCTCCCTGTTGTGGCTGTGTCAGGAGTGCAAAGATGCAAATCTCAGGTTTAGTTTTAACACCCTTTTGAGTGCAGCTTTGAGTACAGCCCATGTGCTGGAACAATGAGAACATGAAATCAAAGTCCATTTCTGAGCAGAACGGTGATGTAAACAGCAACTGAACCTCTGGCTGAGGGAATTGTTGCTGAAAGGTGATTGTTGAAGGTTTCTCAAAATTTTATTTAGCAAAAACATTAGAAAGGTGCACTAGAAATAATAACTGAGATTCTAAAATTCCAGTTTCCAAAAGGACACTTCCAATTTTATTTAAGCAACCAACCCATTGAGTTTGCTTACTTTGACTAAGCTTCCCTCAGAAATTCCACTGACACCAGTGTAGAATTTTGGTTCACCGAAAAGCAAAGGAATGAAAAACTGCAGCTTAAAGTGAAATCTCATAGAGTCACAAAACGGTTTGGGTTGGAAGGGAGCTTAAGAACCATCCATTCCATTCCCTGCCATGGCAGGGACACCTTCCACCATCCCAGGCTGCTCCAAGCCCTGTCCAGGCTGGCCTTGGGCACTGCCAGGGATCCAGGGGCAGCCACAGCTGCTCTGGCAATTCCAGCCCAGCCAGGAATTCCCAATTCCCAATCTCCCATCCATCCCTGCCCTCTGGCAGTGGGAGCCATTCCCTGTGTCCTGTCCCTCCATCCCTTGTCCCCCTAGTCCATCTCCAGCTCTTTCATAGTTCTCAGAGCATGGAACCTCAAAAAGCAGAAAAACAGGTTCTTGCCCCAACACTGAGGTGTCTGAGGACATCACTGACACGAAGAGAAGCAGACTGGAGATCCCAGAGTCATTTAGGTAGGAGAAGACCTCTGGGATCATCCAGTCCCATCTGTGACCGATCCCCAGCTCGTCCCCAGCCCAGAGCACCGAGGCCACTGAGGCGTTCCTCGGACACCTCCAGGGCTGGGGGCTCCAAACCTCCCTGGGCCATCCAGAGATGACCCTCGTGGCGTCGCCAGCTAAAATGTGAGGCAGCAGCGTGGTTCCCATGGGCGATGGAGCCAAGATGGAAGCGGCCGTGTGAGGAGAAGGAGCCCTCGGCCATGTCAGGGGACGGCGACAAGGAGCGTTAATGGCCGCGCCATGGCGCGAGGCGCTCCGAGCCGGGCCCTGGCCACCGCCAACAGGCGAAGCGCCCATTACTGAAACTTTGGGGTGAATTACCCCGAATTTAGGGCTTGCGAGCGGGTTCATTAAACGAACCGCGGCAGCAGCTGCCCGTGAGAGGAGGGCAGAGCGCTGAGGGCGGAGCGGGGCGGGGGCCGGAGGAGCGGGGCCCGGGGGCGGGCGGGAGGCTGGGAGGAGGAGGAAGAGGAGGGGGCGGAGGAAGAGGTGGGAAGAGGAGGAGGAGGAGGAGGGAAGAAGAGGCGGCAGCAGCAGTAGCAGCAGCATGGCGGCCGGGCGCGAGCGGCTGAGCGCGCCGCCGCCGCCTCCTCCTCCGCCGCCTCCATCTCCTGCCGCTCCCGAGCCGGAGCCCGCGGCCCCGCTGCCCAAATAGCCGCCCTGCCCCGGGTCCTGCCCCGCCCGGACAGCGCCCGGCCATGGAGCTCGCCAAACCGGCCTTCCCCGCGCTGCCGCAGGCCAAAGAGGACTCTGAGGTGAGCGGGAGCTCCGGTCCCGGCCCCCCGCACACGCCCGGCCCGCGGCCCCGCCGGGGCTTCCCCTCACAGCCCTGCCCGCCCTGCGGTGCCTCCCGCGCCCCTTCCCGCGGGATTCCCGCTGGGATCCATCGCAGGCCGCGGGTCCGTGTCCCGCCCTGTGCTGGTGACACCTCCTGCGACCACCGGCCGCGTCTCCCCTCCCCTGGTCGCTGCCGGGCTCTGCTCCCTCCATCGCCCTCCGGCATCTCCGCTCGCCGGTGCCTCCGGCCTGGAAGCCTCTCACTATCCAGGTTGCTCCAAGCCCTGTCCAACATGGCCTTGAGCGCTTCCAGGAGTGGGGCAGCCACAGCTTCTCTGGGCGATCTCGTCACCCTCACGTTCAGGGAACTGAGCCCCTCCGCTTTGTCTCCTTTGGCTTTTGCCCACCCGTAGCTGCCCCCACAGTTTTTTATGCCCCCTTTCTGCGCTCAGTGTGTCACAGCCTGTCTGTTCGCCGCCCTTTCGCTCTCCCCGCGTGTCCCCCGGCCGTGTCCCCCGTGAGCAGCCCCTCAGGGAGTACCTGCGGGTCCCCTCCGGCCTCTCGCTGCCGTGCTCCTCCCGGAGCGACCCGGCGCTGCCTGGCTCCATCGGGGCGGCGTTTTCACGGAGTTCCAGAGCCGGGGCTCCTCTGCGGACGAGGACAGGTGGCAATGTGCGGTGTCACAGGAGCCGCGGCAGCGCGGTGTCTGATTTCCGAACTTGGCTGAACTCCCCGGCGCTGACCCTGGACACGCTGGTGATTTGTTTTTGTGTGTCACAAACATCCCCGAGTGTCCCCCCCGCCACGTCCCCTTTGGTGGCCTCAGATATTTAATGCGAAATGTCACAGCCTGCTGAGGGAAGCTGAGAGTGTCTGAGCTCTTCGGACGTCTGTAGATTGTCGTGCGGTTCTAAACATCAGCGTTTATTTCTGTTTGAACAGCATTGCTCAATGCTGTTGTGGTGGTAAATCACCTGAAATATGGGAGTGACTCTTTTTGTTCAGTTTTTGTTGTCAGGACTTAATACTCCCCGTCATTTAGTTGTTCTCACAAAGTTGTAATCACTTTGTATCTCAACACAAATCACCTGCCACAAATCACCAATCCACCCTGTGGATTGGTTTCTCCAGAAAGAAAAGATATTTAAAAGCAAACAGATCATAAACCTCACAGGTTTATGATTTGTTTGCTTTTAAATATCTTTTCTTTCTGGAGAAACCAATCGTGTCGTCCACAGTTTTGTTAACTAAATTAGCCTGGGTGGCTTTTCATCTCAAATGGCTAAAGAGGAATGTGGGGTTAAAATAAAAATGAAACAGAGCTCAGTGCCAGTCTAACAACTCTTAACTGAAGAAAACTGAGATTGTAATACAGTTTGTTTCAGAGTAGCTTTTACTTTTGTCTTTTTTCATGGGCTGTCTGTAAATAATATAATTGTAGTGTGTTAGAACTTCACACAGTGGGGATTTTCAAGAACTGATTGTAAAAACTGTAAGACTTTCTTTTCAATATGCTGCATTTGTGTCTGACTTGATCTAAATGCAGGATCATGCCCACAAATTCTGAGCTCTGATAGAAGATAATAAATAGTTGGAGTATGTGGAGGAAACAGGAAAGTGAAAGCCAGTGGTGAGTGTCAAAGTTCTTTTGGAGGTGACTTGTTAAAAGCAAAGTGTAGGAGACTTAAACCCAGTCCTTAAGACAGGGCTTTGAAAAAGCAAACTGAGGAAACTAAAATCATCCTGCCCACAAAATGTAGATTTTCCTGGAAAGCAGAAGATGCTCTTGTGCATTGCAGCGAGGAGGCTCTTCAATGAGCAGTAATCCCTAATATTTTGGGAGGTTGCTGGTGGATGGCTTGGCAGGTTTGCTTTCAAGATGCTGGGAAGGGGAGGGGGGAGAACTTGGAGAATCCCTGGCTGACTTCCTGCTGCTCAGAAATGCAGCTTTGTCACTTTTAACTCAATCCAAGTGCCACCCCCAGCTCCCTTCTCAGAGCTGACACTTGTAACCATGTCACAGCTTTAATAATCGTAATAATAATTAAAAAAGAAAGCCAAATCAGCTTGGCTGCGCAGCATCCCATCCCTTCCTGGCACAAGGAGAAGTGTTGAGGGGAGAGAGCAGCCTGGATTGACTGGGGCAGGCTGCAGGGATGGGCTCTGATAAATAGGTCACTTTTCCAGCCTGGATGTTGTTTGCCCTGTCCCTAATCCATAGTGTGGTGTTTGGGATTGCTGGATTTCTAAACCTCTTGGCTGTTGGTACTTCTGGGAGCTTGGGAAATGCCAGAAAACCTGGAATTCATCATTCTGGCAAAGCTTTTCTGAGAATGCCTGTGAACTGTGTGTTCTTTTACAGTCTGGTGATGGGGAATAGCTCAGTTTTATGAGTAATAGTGATTATATGTGATGTGGAACCATTTCTAAGCTTAGATTTTTATTCTTATTTTTTTTTAAATCAGCACATTTTCCAAGGTCAGGTCTCAAACTTTCTTAAATTTTAGGAGTTCTGTGTTACATGTTTATACTGGGAGGAAAAAATATGGCTAAAAACCCATTAAAAAGGGTCAGGTTAATAACAATTAGTACATGTTGGCTTGTTAGTACTTCTGGAAAGAAGGTCAGTAAGGACTGCAATAATTGAAGGAGTTTAATAGAAATTATTTTCCCATTAAATTTTAAACGAAACAAAAGGTCTAGGTTGTTATATATATATAATGAGAACACAGCAACAATTACCAGTTTATTTCTTTGTTAAAACATATTTGCCTGCAATCAGGCTGAGCCAACCAAGTATTCATGATGTACTTAGATTTTTTTATTTTTTTTTTAGGACTCTCCATGGGTTTTGTAATTAAATTAGCAGCCTATTGACTAAGCAGACATATTTGCCTTTTTATTATGCATAAAAGCTGAGTTCTTTTTAGCACATGGAGTTTTCATAAAAAAGAAATTTACATTTTTGACAGCTATATTTAGTCTGAAATGCTAATGTATTTCTGACTGCTTTTTTTAGCTATGAAGTGATGCGGCCCATCTAAAGGTGGAACAAATCTATTAAACTTTTTTAACTCTCTCTTTTGATAGACAACACAAATAAACCCCTTAAAACACAACTTTTCCCCTCCTCTGCAGACTCTTTAAAATAAGTAGGAAGCCTGTATCATTAGAATTATTTTACCTGCCCACATAATAGAGCCCAAAAAACGGAGAACAAATGCTGTGTTGTGCTGGGAGATGTAAATCAGGTGACAGATTTTGATCACAGCTCGCTGGGATACTCTCAGACTGCTTTGCATAAATCAGTGCTCTGTGGCAGCTGGAGCTGAGCAGTCTCTCAGTCCTGATTAATTTGTGCCTCCCATCCAGGGGAGGCCTGGTGGGATCCAGAATCGGGGAGTTGAGGCATGTTTGGGTTGTTTTAGCTAAATGAGGATTGTCTCAGTGTAGCCCAACTCATGAATTAAAAAAAGGAGGGCGGTGGAAAAGGCCATTGCTGCAGCATTATGAACAATCCTGATAATCTGTGTGAGTGTGGCACTCCAGGCACTTGGCTTTGTGCTTCCTGTCAGCTGAAGGATTCTGCCTCCACTGCTTTATTTCCAGTTTTGTTGGAAAAAATTGTATGAGGGAAGTTTTTAGCAGTGCTGAGGTGCCTTTAGGACCAGTGTTAGGGAACGGGACAAAAAGGAATTTTTTGTTTCTACTTTCCATTTCTACTTTTCCTTTAGTTTCACCTTTTGTCCTTTCCTGTGGCTTGTGTTTCTCTCTGCTAAAATAACATTTCTTTCCCTGTTGTCTTTCATTCCTTCCTTCCTCCATGTGCTCTGTCATTCCCACCTGCTTTTATTCCTCTTCTCCACCTTCCTGCTTTTGTATTCCTTTGTATTTCCAGTAGCAAAACTGTCTCTGGTGGTGCCTTCCCATTGTCTGAGTGCTCTTGACAGACCCACAGAATTCCCAGTAAATCTGCTTCCATCCCTCCTGAGCGTGGTGGCCTTGGGATGGAGCAGCTGTGCAAGGGTGGCAGTGTCACCTCACCCTTTCTGCTGCCCCTCTCTCCAGCCCTCAGCCACTTTTGGGATAGCAGCATTGTCCAAAAATTCCTCGAGCTCTGCTCATGGCAGTGCCGTGCTCACACCTTCAGGGAATTAAAGGATTTGGTTTAATTTTGTGTATTTTATAGACTTGCACCAGGATTTCTACCTAGGGGAAAAATATATATATATATAGATAATTGAGCCTGCACTGGTCAGGTAGTTGCACTAAATAATTATTGTAGGTCCTTTCCAATTGAAATAATTCTATTTGTATAATAACCCCCATGTTTTCAATAGAACTGTCCAAGAACACGAAGCATGACTGAAACTGAAGACACAACCTTTCACTTCATTCATGTTTGTAGCTAATTTTGAGGCTCTTAAGTACCACCTTTCACGGTGATAGATGTGACAGGTTTCAGTGATACTCAAATATTTTCCTTGAATATTCTTCCAGTACCTCATTTAGTTTGTCTCCTTTCTTATTAAAAAAATGGGAAGTGATTGTGTTCTGCTACTGCTTTATTATTTCGAGATTTCTTCTGCGGTTGTTCCATTTTACAAATACCGATTTAGATTTTTGTGCAAGCCTCTGGAGGCGAGGGATGTTACCATCACTTCGTTGGGCCATGTAAAATAACTTGTAAAAAGCTTTGGAACCCAAGGTGTGATCTCGTTTGTGAATGACACTTAAAGCTGCCTGGGAACGAAAGCCTTTGTGTGGAGGTCATTGTTGTGGGATCAGGACCAGCCCAAATCCTCGCTGCAGCCTGGGCAGGGGGATGCTGCTGCAGTGCTGCCCTCTCTGACACGGTCAGGCTGTAATTTGAATTTCCTGTGCAGGGTTAAAGGCGTGCCAGGAGCTCGCCTGGCCGGAGCAGATGCAGGAGCTGCAGCAGGTCCGAGCCCCTGTAACAGTTTCTGCTGCTCCAGGGTCACAGCTTGGGGGAGAACCTTCTAGCAGGTTTGGGGGAGAGGCTTGGAGTGTTACAGGGAAACGGCTTCAGGCAAGAGGAGTCTCGCAGCCTTGGGTTTTTGAGGTGCACAGTCCATCACTCAGGAGTCCTGCTGGGATGGATTGTGATGGGGAGAGAAATCTGTGTGGAGAGGGAAGCGATGCTATAAATCAGCAACAAAAAAATTGTCTGGGAGTTGGGAAAGGCTTGGACACCTGGAGTGGTCAGGGAGGTTTTCCAAAGGATTTGAGTGATGGTCTGGGAAGCAGGAGGAGTCGTTGCAGGGGGTGGGTGATGCTGAGCAGGTGAACAGCAGCAGTGAAAATCGAGAAGAGACTTGCTGAGCTCATCTCCTCTAACTACTGATTGGATTTCTTTTCCTGGCGGTTTTTGCAGCATTTCTGAGAGCTTCTCCCTTCACCTGGGCCAGCCTGTGGTCTGCAGGCTCTGCTAATTACAAGGCAGCAGGAGCTGAACCATCCTAACTGGGCTTGCTTTTCAGCCAGAGCCCAGCTTTGACAAAGACCGGGGCTGTACCTTTTATCTGTGAAAATCAGATGGGTCTGCAGGCCTCAGCTGTCAGTGAGGGACCAGTTAAGCTCTGTCATGTGCATCCATTCCTGCATTCCTTCTGGAGAGGCAGATGCAGGTTGGCTGTTGTGTTTAAAAACCACCCTCTTTGCTTTGGTCTCAATATCAGGGCTGGTAAACTCAATATCAGGGCTGGTAAACTCAATATCAGGGCTGGTGAACTCAATATCAGGCTGGTAAACTCAATATCAGGCTGGTAAACTCAATAGCAGGCTGGTAAACTCAATATCGGGCTGGTAAACTCATTTAGAAATAATAATGTAAATGTTTTAGATTATGTCCTAGACAAGGCCACTGTTAAAAAAACCTCTGTGTCATTTTTTGCCATTAAACTGAAAAAGGAAGAGGTTGTGACAAAATACAGACAAAATAACCCAAACTGTTGGCACAGCTAACATATATTGGATACCAAGAGCCTCTTTGTAGTGTGGACAAGTCTTACCTATTAATTCATAGCTTCCATTTATTTCAGCTGGAGATTGGATGGGGAAGGGAGGGCTTTGGAATGTGCTTTATTCCCCCTTCTCGTGCATGTTTGAGGAGTTCTGTCAGAGGGGAGTGGCTTATTTTTAAAACTTTGAAATTGTAGGGATTATTTTTTTCCACTCCATCTCTTTGGTGTCTTGCAAGTATTGATGAGTGAGGCTTCCAGTGACTTGTCACTTGTTCTGGAGAACCTCCCAAATCCCTGGCAGCAAGGAATGCTGTTCTTCCCTCCACCTCTGGCATCGCCCTTTGTTTTCTTAGCAAAATTCTTGCATTCTTCTGATCAAAAGAGAAGCTTTCAGTTGTTTTTTGTCTGCTTGGTGCTGCAGACAGTGTGGAAAACCTGCTTGATGAAGGAATTCCTTAAAATGGAACCTGTGCTTGGCTTCAGTCTCCATTAATAGATTGGGTTTTTTACATAACTTTGCATAACATTTGAATAATCTGGCATTGTTGGTTTTGAAAGCCTTGAAGGGCTGTCAGCAGTCACCAAAATCATTCTTTCAGTAGTTTGTGTACTTGTCTCAAATGTTTTCCTTAAGCACTCTCCTTCAGAGAGTTATTTTACAGACTAAATCCCATTGAAAGCTGTATCTTTTTTTGCCTCTTGGAGGGCACTAAAGACCAATGTCTGGGGCCTGTAGTGATTTTTTTTTTTCTTGTTCAGAACATCTGTGCTGTCTCTTGGGATTTGGTTCCCTTTGGACTTGCATTGCTCAATTCTCACCTATTTATTTTGCACAGCTGTTGGGGCTAAAAATTTCCTGATGCATTTGAAAGGAATATTTGCAATATGTTGTTAAGCCAAAATAGTGATGAATTTGTGTTTTCATTGTGCTCCAGATGAAGATTTCTAAATTCTACAAACAGAGTAATAAACCTACTGAAGTGCTTGTATATTCCTGGAGCGCAGCTTGAGCTTTTCAGAGTTTATTGGTTTTAGACTTGGACAAACCTGGGGTTTTCTGGCCTTTTGAGGGGTGAATGATGCTTTTGTGTACAGAGCAAGCCAGCAGGGTTGTGCTGAACCCCCTCAGGTCCCCCTTCAAAGGATAGAGTTCTGTAAATATCATCCTTTTGTCGCAACATTTCTCCTTTCTACTTCCAGGAGTTTATTATTCCAGCTGGAACATGCAGAAGTAATTTAGCTACTTGTGTGTCTTCAGCAAAGCCCATTTCTGTGCATTTTATTTCCCTGTTTGTGCTGCCACTTTAGGTGCTATCCGAAGGATTTTGTGGGGTGGCTTAATGTTTGTTTGCTTGCTTTTCCAGAATAACTTTACTGATACTGAAATCCTTCTTAATTCCACGACCAAGAGCTGGAAAATCCTCCCTGTGCACTGTGGGGGTGTCTGAGGGAAGCACAGGATTTTTATTGTGTTGGTAAAAAGAGGTTTAATGTGAATTTATTGCTGCTGGGACAAGTGTAGGTGCTCAGGTGAACAGTGCTGCAATCTAAGGGATCCTCCCTGCTGTAATCCAGACGTCACTTCCCAGCTGGAATATCTGATGTTTAACTTCCCCATACTTCTGAGGACATCAGACCACAGGGGAAGTTTTTTTTCTTAGCTGCTGGTGTGTGTGTGTCTGAATCAAACAACAGAGTTATGTAAATAAATGTACGCAGCCTATTGGTTATATTTGACTATTCCCTTTTATTTTTTTTTTACCTCCAGATGGTAACTGGGATCTCAGCTCCGACTCCTTCATGTGTGAGGGTCAAGGAATGAGTAAGAGCCTGTTAATAGAGGCCAGTGGGAGTTGTAGGGAAGGGAAGACAGGAATAGTCTCTGCCTGAGCAGTTTCTGCTCAGCTTTGGCAGAGCTGCAGAGTGGAGCAGAGGGTGGAAATGTTGATCCTGGGCTTTGCTCTGGTCAGCTGGGAATGGGAGCTGAGCCCTCCCAGTCCTGGGGGTCTGGGGAAGGGAGGAAATGAGCAGCAGGATCACGGCAGGAGTGGTTTATTTACTGTGTGAGGGGTAAATAAAACTGTAAACTGTGGGGTGGAGACTCCTGAGGGCTTGCTGTGGTCATGGAGAGCACAAATTTCTGGAATTGCTGGAGCTGAATCCTGAATATTCAGAGTGGATTAGGTGAGGCAGTGTGGATTTTAAGGGAGTCACCTGCTCTGCTTGTTATCTTGTGTTATTTCAGTGGCTGCAGGAATGCATCAGCCAAAGGAATTCCTTTGCTTCTCTGACCAGTGCAGAATGTTCTACAGCTTTTTTCCTTTCTCTTTTTTCCCCTCCTCACTTCAGAGGGAAGTTTCTCAGCAGAAAGCTGAGGTGTGGATAAGCTGATAAGGAATCATTTCCAGCCTTAAGGATTTTTTGTAGAATACTTGAGTTTTCTTCACATTGACTTTCCAAGTAGTGTTCCTTGCACTTGGGTGGTGCTGGCATCCGTGTGGAAAGGTAACAGGGAGCTTGTACAGCACTTGTGATTATTTTCTACAAAAAATGCATGTCCATGTCTCTGCCTGAATGTTTTTCTCTGTAGTATATATAATTTTTATTTTCTTTTTTTAAGGATTGGACCTATCCCATGAGGAGAGAGATGCAGGTAGGACACTTTTATTTTCTGTTTTGAGGCAAAACCATGGATCATTTAATGAGGAGAAAAAAGAGCTGGTATCAAAATCAGTCCTTACCTGTAAAGTGTCAGGCAGCACCATGGAAGACAGAATTAATTAGTTAATTAAGGTGAGGATTTGCCAGCTTGGAATGCAGGTGTGTTTGCTTCTCTGTTGTGCAGGTACTAAACCAGAAATCCCCCAAATATTACATTTTTGTCTTTCTGAATGTCTTTAGATTATTACAAAAAATGTATCAGAGGTTTGGCTTCTACCTTAGGCTTGGAAGTGTTCTCCAGTGGGATGGACAATTAAAATTTTTCTGCTATGGTGTCAGTCCCACTTTTGCACAAGATCTGCACACCTGCATATCTTCATTGCTGGGGAGATAAATGGCTAAAAACTGATATTTTCCCACTGCTAGGCCAAAGCTTGAGAAATTTCCATGCGTTTATCTTTTTCTCATGAGGGCAATTTGGAATTAATTACGAGACAGGGTAATAAACCAAGTTAAGATTTCCCTTCTCTTGATCTGGGGCTGGGTGAGATGCAGGAATCAAGCTGGAACTTAGTCCAAATCAAGGACTTTGTTCCTGGTCCAGAACAAGATATCCAGCACCAAGATCATGTTTCTTTTATCCTGCCAAACCATTTTTTTTTGCTTGTCCTGCTATAAATGACATTGATTACACATTTCAGGAATATGTAAATTATTTGTGTCCATGTTCTGAGGTGAGTGAGATGTGTTATTTCAAATCATTTGGAGTTGGTATTAAATGTCTGTTCTTCTCCTCCCTCCTAGGAAATCTTACCTGGGTTGTTTTTAGGCCCATATTCTTCAGCTATGAAAAGCAAGGTATGATTTTCAGAATATTCTCTCACAGGGAAGCTTTGCTGTGGTGATTGGATTTGTTACTGTGGAGATCTGCTCTGTGTATCTATAGAGGTGTAAATTTGGTTGCAGTTCTGAACTGGAATGTGAAAAATGCCAAAGTGGAAGGAATATGTGATGCATTTGTTGGATGGTTTGAGCTATTTGTATTAAAATTGAGTCTTAAATATAATATTTCTTAGAGAATTTAAGCTGTTTGAGACTTCACCAATTCCTATTTCCTTTGCTGAAGACCTGTCAGAACTGGGAACTCACACACAGACATTAAAACAAGGAAAATTAAATTACAATAAAGTCAAGCACTGCTCAGGCACAGCTTGGCTCTACAAATTTACCTCATGGTTTAAATGATTTTGTTTTCATGGTTCTGGTTCCAGCAAGAATCCAATGCTGGCTGCAAATTCCTCCCTCATGCAGGGACTTGAAATTCCAGGCAAAGTGAAAAGTGGGGAGAGGCAAACAACTTCATTGAATGCCTTCCTGTTTTGTCATTTTATCTTTTGAAAAAACAACATTTTTACACTCTGAATTCTAGAAAACCAGCTCAGATTTTCCTTGATATTGCCCTATTTTGTATCTAAGTACAGCTTTTGTTTTTATTACTGTTTCTATTTATATATAGAATATATATAAATAGTATAATATGTATGATTTAGTAATATATAATATTGTATATAGTAATATATATATAAATAGTATAATATGTATGATTTAGTAATATATAATATTGTATATAGTAATATATATATAAATAGTATAATATGTATGATTTAGTAATATATAATATTGTATATAGTAATATATATAAATAGTATAATAATATGTATGATATAGTAATATATATTACTAGTCTATTTATTGCAGCTTATCTTTATATTATTAATAATATTATTTCTTTATCTATTACTGTCTAACAGATGAATCTGTAATTTTAAAGAGTTATTTTTATTTTCTCCACAGCTACCTATACTCCAGAAACATGGAATAACCCATGTGATATGCATACGGCAGAACATTGAAGCAAATTTTATTAAACCAAACTTCCAGCAGTTATTTAGGTGAGAAATGACCAAGATTCCTTTGTGTGTGTTCTTTCTAAATATTTTCACTTTGTCAGAATTATTTGGAAAATGTGCTCAGGTGCAGAAAGACTTGAAATCCAAGCCATGAATTTTATTCACCCTGAACAAGTCTGCAGATTCAAATTATCCATAGTTTGCAGTAACTGTTTTCAGTGATTCCTGAGAGGGGAAATCTGTCAGGGGGTGCTGGAGATTCCCCACTCCTTTCCTCACAAGGTTCTGGATGGAATTTCTGGAGTTCAGAGCAGGGGGTTGTGCTGGGTTCCTCCTGCACTGGAGGGGTTGGAGCAGCTCTGTGAACTCACAGGAAATTTTCATTGCAGGTATTTAGTCTTGGATATTGCAGATAATCCAGTGGAGAATATAATCCGATTTTTCCCTATGGTGAGTAGATGGGTGGGGAAGGGAAATCCCCAGGAGCTTCTGAACTAACAAATGCCAGTTTCACATTTGGGATACTCAGCCTCAGGCCCCTGAAGTGCTGCCAGCTCCTGGCTTTGTTATTGACACTTTAATAAGTGTAATTAACTCATTTTTACAGGTGGAGTTGGAAGAGCTGCTCCTTGTGATGGTATCAAAAGAAAAAGAAATAAAAATTAAAAAAGACAGGCCTCAAAACAAGAGATTTGCTCATGGGGGAATTCTGGGGCCCTTGACCTGGGGGAAGCTTTATTTGAGCCCAAGAATATTTACATTTCTTGTATGAAATTCAAAATAATAGCTAAGTTTTACAGTGTCTTAAAACTTGCTTGCTGCAGAGGAATTAAAAAGTAACTTGTAAATTAAGCAATGCCCATTATTGGAACATACACCTTAGTTTTGAGCTGTGGGTTTTTATTTTAGTCCAGTTTGCAACTGAACAAAAGGATTTTGTTCCTTCTTCCACCAAAAAACCCAAAAGTGCCTTCACTGGCTTTGCACTGACAATTTTAGGAATAGTTTAAAGTACAAAAGAAATACAAATGTCCAGTTGAAGTGGGGTTTAAGTCTGCATAAAGATGCATTATTGTCACTGATATATATAGGTGTTACTACTAGTTGCACTTAAAATAATCTGAAAGTTTGAGTCTTGTATTTTTTTTCTTTTCAGACTAAAAATTATATCCAATTTAGGTGTTACTACTAGTTGCACTTAAAATAATCTGAAAGTTTGAGTCTTGTATTTTTTTTCTTTTCAGACTAAAGAATTTATTGATGGAAGTTTACAAAGTGGAGGTAAAATTAACTTTCCTCTCATAAAACTAACTTAGGGGTATGGATTAGAGGCTCTTAAACAAAATCTTTTCTTAAATTTGTGGGGTTTATTATGCTTGATTTGAACTCTGTTAGACACATTCAGAGCAAAGTGTTCTTTCCTTTTGCCTCTGACTGGAAAACCAGCCTCTGGGATTTGGGGTTTTTTCACTTGAAACTTGGCTGAGTTCTGTGCATGAGGTTTTCTTGTCCCCTCTCAAATGTAGGACCTGAAATCTGCACTGTGGCCATTCTGTCACTCAGAATTCTCCCAGGAGCAGCAATCCCAGCTCAGTATCCCAAAGGAAGAGTGCAGTTAGAAATTCAGGAAGACAACACCTGGGATTTTTTTGGCTGTGCCTTGCTGCTCCCTGGTTTTCCATAACAAGGGAAGTGAAGGAAGACAACACCTGGGGTTTTTTGGCTGTGCCTTGCTGCTCCCTGGTTTTCCATAACAAGGGAAAACCACATTTCAAAGCATTTTTTTCAGTTTACACAATTAATTTTGGGTTGGTTTTTTTTTTTCCTTCTCAGGAAAAGTTCTTGTCCATGGGAATGCAGGGATTTCTAGAAGGTAGGAAATTATCCACCCTAATACTAATATTTTTAAGCAATTGAAAGATATTTTACTGATTTTTATTTGTTTTTTCCCAGTGCTGCCTTAGTGATTGCATACATAATGGAAACATTTGGGGTGAAGTACAGGTAAGAAGAGCTATTCAGGTTTTAAATCAGGTGGTGTGAGTGAATAATGATTTTGGAGGGAACAGAAGCTGTTGTGTTTTCACTCAGTCTCAGTGCCTTACCTAAGACTTCACCAGGAGCTGATTATTCCATTTTCCTTCACTGCAGTTGTGTTTACACCCTTTTTTTTAAAGAATCAGGCACCTGCTGCTCAGGGAATGAGGGCACCAGCCTCCATCCATGGATAAAACCTTGGGAGAGCCCCAGGGGCTGTTCTGAGCCTGTGCTGAGCAGGAAAGTGAGCTGAGCACTGGGCTGGGCAAACAGAATTGTACAGCTGCTGCTTCCTGCTTTGGCCAAGCCATTTCAGCTGTAAAAACCAGTTCTGGGAAGGGTTTAGAGTTCTGTAGTGCTGAAAAACTGATAATCTGAAGGAAGACTCAAACCACAGAGACTTTTATGTATTTTTCACTGAAGTGTTTTCTTCTCTTTTTAAGGGATGCATTTACTTATGTCCAAGAAAGAAGATTCTGTATTAATCCTAATGCTGGATTTGTCCATCAACTTCAGGTGACTTTTTTTTAAATTCTTGATCATAACTGAAAAGCCATTTAATGAATCATCTTCCTGCCAAACAGAAATTTACACAAATATGCCTCAAGGAAATGTCAGGAGCTGGAGGAAAGCTTGGGAGGAAGATGAGTGGGCACCTCAGCTCCTTAGAGTTAAGCTTTGGACAAAGCAAATCCAGGAATGGAGGAGAAATAAAAATCCTGGTTTGTGCAGTGATTAAGAGGCTCTGAAATGTTTTGGTTGGTGCTGAAGGAGCTGCAAAAGAAATGTGGGTTGTTCCTTAAAGCCATTTCTTTAGTCATCCTTGAACTTTTCCTCTGACTTCCTGATGGTTTTTGTCATTCATGTCAAAGCAACAAAGAATTCTCCTCCTCCCAAATCTGTGCCTGAATATGAGATGCTCCCTGAATTGGCCCTGCTCATCCTTAAAAAAGCTTTATGCCAAAGTAATTCCAATCCACATTTTTGGACCTTTCCAGGAATATGAAGCCATCTATCTAGCAAAATTAACCATCCAGATGATGTCACCTCTGCAGCTGGAGAGATCCCTCTCAGTCCCACCTGGCAGCACAGGTGAGAAGCTTCTCCTGCTGGGTGGGGGCGTGAGGGGATTTTTCAAACCTTCAGCAGCAGAATCCCAAGCTCTTGGGAAGGGCTTTTGGTGTGCAAGCTGAGTTTAAACTTCGCTGTGAAGTGTTTAAGTGTCCTGGTTTGCCATGGCTGAAGTTCCCTCTTGCCTCCTGCAGGAAGTTTGAAGAGGATGCACGAGGAGGATGAAGATCTTGGCACCATGCAGGTGGCAGCAGCACAGAATGGCTGAGGACAAGCACTGGTTGTAGTGAGAATTCCTGCCAAGAAAGGTGAAGAAAACTAGGGAAAAAGAAAACCACACAAAAACCAGAACGAGAGTTAATGCAAAACAATGAACACACATAGCTTCTTTTCAATTACATGTTGCTTTCAGATGTAAATCTGCCTCTGCAACACACTAAGCATCATTTTTAAGATGTTGGACTTCTTGAATGAATAGATGGCACTGATTGTTTTACTCCTTTTTTACACTTTACAGTTTTATTCTAAACCAAGATTTTTGGACTTGCAAAGAGGTATTATTGCAATAATGCACTTTTCATACTTGAAATTTCTTTATTTGTATGATATAAAGTTATTACTTTAAACAAAATGCAAGCGGGGGGGATTTGTTTATAAAGTTATTTGTGTAATTTATAACAAGAGACTTTAGTAAAGAAAAAGTTTGCTAAAACTCACCTTGTTCTCAGTATGTATTATGGCAGAAATGTGCTTTAGGGACATATAAGCATAGAGGTTAATTCAAGTTGAACTATCTAGAACATCCTCAAGCTGGTTTTCAAGGAGTGGTTGCTGTTGCAAGGCAGTAGTGGCATCATTTCAGGTAAAAATTTGATTTATCTTAGAAAACTGAGGCCCAGGGCACTGCCCATAATGGGATGAAGAATTAAAGGATTCACCTCAGCTCTGGTGAAACCTTAGACTGAGCTAAGAAAGCAATTCTTGGTGCTTTAAGGTTTTCAGATTGGTGATTGTGCAGCTGTAACTCTCCTGCCTCAGCAGCACAGAGGTTGTGCAAAGCAAGCACAGTCCTGGTTCTGCATCTGCTTTATTTCCCAGTGTTTGTTGCCTAAAAGCCAGGGCTGGAATGATTTGGGAGCACTGTGGTGACTGAGCGAGGCCGTTAGAAAAACGTGGGTGCTTGGGAAGTCTGAGCTTGGGAAGCAGGCTGTGTTTTAACAGGGAAAAAATGGGCTCAGGGTTTGGGGATCAGAGCATCCAGCAGCACATTCCTGTTCCTGCTGATACCCTCTGCCACCTGCAGCAGTGATGGAGCACAGTAATTCCTTCAGGGGAGAAAAAATCTGCAATAAATAGTGCGATGCTTTAGGCAGGAACTTTTCAGCTGGAAAAAAAAGAAGTGATTTATCTCCTGGAGAGCTGCACTGTGCCAGTGTCCAGTGCTGCTTTGAGCTGGAGAGGGTTTGTTCCTGCTCTGAACTTGACCCTCCATAAAGGAATGCTCTGGGGCTGTTGGGAAATGCATTCCTGGCCTTTGGAGCACGAGGCTCCCACATGGCAGCAGTGTGGCTGTGCCTGGCCCTGCACAGCCCCCAGGCACTGCCAGCCACCAGCTGGGCTGGGAGGCGTCAAATCCCCGTCAATTCCAGCTCCCTGGGGAAGGGGAGGGATGAGGCACAGATGGAAGGCACTGATTCATCTCCAGGCTGCTCCATGTCCGTGTCTGTTCTCTCTGGGGTCCTGGGAACACTCCCTTCCTGCTGACAAGCTCCATGACTAAGGATTTCTCATCAATCCACGTTTTTTTTTCCCTGGCATTACCCCCTCCTGGTGCCTTTTACAGTCATTCTGGTCTGTCTGCCTGTCAGATCCTAGGGGATTGTGAGATTTAATTTTCCTCAGATCTATTACTAAGCCATCTATTTAAAGCTTCCTGTGTGTGTCTGCTGGAGTTTCGCTGCCAGGAGGTGTTTGTTTCAACACTTGGTTTTGGGGGTTGAACTAAAGGCAGGAATTGGAAGCAGGGTCTCTCACTGTGGACTGGAAGGAGAAGTGGAGGGGGAATTATTATTTTTATTTCCCAGGTTCAAACAGAAAACTGCAACACCCAAATCTTTGGGAATCCACAGCTCTGGACTGAGGTGCTGAAATTGCCTTTTCCAGCTTAGGGGAAGCAGAGTGAAGGAGCTGGAAATCTCTTCCTCAGGGTGGGAAAGAGCCAAAAACTTAAATCACGGGGAGGAGGTAACATACAACCTCTGGAGAAGCTGGTAATGCTGTTAGGGCTGGTTCTCTCCAAAAAAAGTGTCCCAGGCAAGGCTGAACAAGGCTTGGAGCAAACAGGGATGGTGGAATGAGATGGGCTTTGAGGTCCCTTCCAACCCAAACCAGTCTGGGATTCTCCAACTGTATGTCCAAATTAATCAACTCCATGTCCAAATACTGCTGGTTTTATATAGATACTATTTGTATGATTAAATATATTTATACAAATATATATAAAAATATCTATATAGCTGTAGATAATTATATGAATCTGAAACAGAGGTACCCAGATGCCTTTGTGGTCCAGGGAAAAGACATTGATGAAAGGTTTGGTGCTTGCCTCAAGAAGGTCATGGTTGATTTTATACATATATATATATATATACATATAGTCTCTCTAGATGTGTATGTATATATATATAAATATGTATACGGTATAAATCTGTCAATATAGATTTTATATATACATAAAATACATACCCATATGTAGATTTTACATATACATAAAATACATATCCATACATACAGATTTGATATATACATATTTGTGGCTATATTTTAGATCTATTTTTATGTACACATAATGAACATACAGGGCCCTTGCTCTTCCCTCTTCAGCCCTTTGCACTGTGGATGGATTTCAGGGCTGCTGCAGTTGCTGTTTCCTTTCCCCTAGGGCCAGGCAGAGCTGGCACTTGTGGCATTGTCCCTGTCCCTGTGGTGTCCCGGGGCACCTCCCAGTCCCCAGGCTGGGCACTTCCAGCTCTCCAGCTGCTGTTTGTGCACAGGGTGGGAATGTCACCTCTGGGAGGGACAAAGAGCTCTTCAGCTGCCCCGAGGGACTGCAGCCACAAAGCCCAGCTCTCAACCCCATTCATCTGTTCCACAGTGATCTGAGCAGGGCACAGCACCTGCTCCTCACTCTGATCTTCTCATTAACTCTTAATGAGGGCCTGGGGCTCTTTACATGGTGGAGATGCCATGGAATTCAAATAATCCACTTCAAATCGTGGCAATTCTGAATTAATTACAAGTGTGAAGGGCAGGAAAATCCACCTCAGTCACTTGGGCCAGCAGAAAGCTCTTGCTTTACAGAATGAGAGTCAGGGCTGGAGCCATGCAGATGCTGCCAGAGGAGCACATCTGCTTTCTCCTGGGACAGAAATCCACATGGAACTGCTTAAAAAGTGTTCTTTTCAGCCCAGGCAAGGGGAACAGGGACTGCAGCAGGTGCTGCTGCTCAACAAGCACATCCTCACTCCATGAAAAACAGTCCAGGTACAGGTGGCAATCATTTATTCAGCTTAAACAAAGATATCCTTTAAAAAAATAATCAATAAATAAAGCAGACATCACCAAGGAGACACTGGATGGAGTGGAGAACCCTCAGGAAGATCAAGCAGAGCCCCCAGCACTGCAGAGTCGCTCTCCAGAGCACAAAGCAGGACAGTGTGGAAGGCCTGGCTGCCCACAAACAACCCAGGCTGGGTACAATGCCCTGTTCATGGCTGTGGCATTTGTCACTCCCCACACAAAACACAAAACAGCACTGCTGCCAGCAGGCCTTTGGATGTTCTTTGCTTTTCACCCCTGGCAAAAGTGCTAAAATCATTGATCCAACCTTGCAGCACCAGAGAAATTCCACAGCAGCAGGAGCAGCAATCCCGTGGGAGAAGAGGGGGATTTCTCTGCTGGTTTGCTGTGCCACAGGTGGAAATCCCTCCTGGCCCTCTGGAGATCCAGTGGCTGGGCCAGGGGTGCTCAGTAAATCCCAGAGAGGACCTTAAACTCATCTCATTCCAACAGGGACACCTCCCACTGTCCCAGGCTGCTCCAAGCCCTGTCCAGCCTGGCCTTGGGCACTGCCAGGGATGCAGGGGCAGCCACAGCTTCTCTGGGAATTCTATACCAGGGCCTGCCCTCCCTCCCAGCCAGGAATTCCTTCCCAGTATCCAATCTAACCCTGCCCTCTGGCAGTGGGAAGCCAATCCCTGTGTCCTGCCCCTACAAAAGTCCCTCTCCCTCCTTTTCAGGCCCTGGAAGTCTCTAAGGCTTTTTTGGGCTGAACACCCCCAGCTCCCTCAGGTGAAGCTGAACCTGCCATCCCAGTCCCCTTGCCAGTGATCACCAGAACCCCACTCCCTATGGGATACGTTCCTTCAGACATTCCAGCATCCCTGTTACCCTCTGCCCTGTTGCAAACCACATTTGGGGTTTTTGTGTCAGCAAAAAAAAAAAAAGTAATTATCCTGAAAACCAAGTTATCAGCTAAAGTGCAGGAGCCCTGCAGTGAGAAGCACACATCCATTTTCAGCACAGCCTGGAAGGATTCTCCCCAACCTGCACCAACAGCAACAAATCCAGTCTTGGAAAACAGTGCCTAGAAAACTTCAGATGCACCACCAGCACTTCCATGAGGTGCCATGGGAAAAAAACAGAACTAAGGCCTGTTGTGTGTCACTGATTCTGCACAAGAGAAGCCTCATCCCTTCCCCAGCTACGTCATCCTTCCCTCAGCACAGCCAGGACAGTCCCAGGGCTGTCCTTTGGCTGCTGAGAAAAGAAGCACAAACCTTTAGAAAAATACAATGCAAGAAAAAATTTGAGATAAAAATATATACCTTTGGTTAAAAACCATCCCTTTAACGAGTCCTTTGTAACTCAGCTGGAACAGAAAACTTCACCTCGACTCAACAGTAGTAAAAATTAGTTCTAAACTTATTTTCTAACCCAGAGGACTCTTTCTAAAACCTCAGTAATTTTTTTTCCCCCCAAGATTTACACATTTGATGTTCATTATTTATAGGGATTGTTATATCTGCAGCAATAAACTATAGAAATTTTCCACGGAGAGAATGTTTGTAGCACAAGCTCCTCCACCAACAGTCTTTCCAAGAAAAAAATAAAAAGAACCCAGAGCACCTAGAAGCTGTTAATTAAAGAACCGTTGAAACATGTAGTTTTCATCAGATACCAAATAGCCAAACTTCTTGTAGAAATCCACATTTTTGGGCAGACACTCCAGCGTGATTTTGTAACAGTTCAGTCTCTTACTCAGCAAGGTGAGGGTGGACGTTAATCTGGAAAAGACAAAAAAAATCAGCAATTAAATGCTGGGTCAGTGAATATTTAATGAGCTCTGTTATCACAGCCACAACACCGAGGGCTGCCAGCACTCCCTGTGTTTTCCTGCAGATCGTTTTCTGCCCAGCTGGTGATCCCTGCTGGCTGAATTCCTCCCAGGTGCTTGGCAGGAAGGTGTGAGGTGTAAAGGGCTCGCTGAATGCCAGAGGTGGGGAATACTCACAGTTTTCCAAGCTGCTTCCCTCTGCACTCCCCGCTGACCACCACGTCTTCTATCCTGCCCCTCTGAAAACACAGGCAAGTGTTTGTTAGCCTTGGGATTGCCCTTCCAGCTCCCTGTGTTCACAGCCTGCCTGGGACTCCCAGCACGGGGATCCTCAGCCATCTGCTCTGTCAGAACCACGTCTGACTCCTTCCAAGGCTCATGCCACAACGGGACACATCTCCCAGTGCTCCTTTTTCCTTAGGAAAAGCCAAAGCCTCCTGTTACTGTCAGCTCAGCACTCAAGGATGTGATATATTTTTTTTGAATATACAAAATACTTGATATTTTTAAATATATTTTAAAAATATTTATATTTTTAAGGTTGGAAAAGCCCTTTGAGACCATTAAGCCCAACTGTTCCCCAGCAGTGCCAAAGCCACCACTAACCCATGTCCCCAAGTGCCACATCCACATGGATTTTAAATCCCTCCAGGGATGGGGACTCCACCACAGCCCTGATCAGCCTGTACAGGCCTGGACCACCTTTTTCCACAAGGAAATTTTTCCCAACATCCAACCTAAACCTCCCCTGACAGAACTTGTGGTTGTCACCACACAATAACACCATAAAACCAGCATGCCCAGAGTCAGGGCCAGGCTCTTTTCCTCCCTTCCCAGCTGCAGGATTTACCTTGGCACAGGAGTGAGTGAATTTGTGTTCTATAACCAGCGTTGCCGTGGCAACGATCTGCCCCAGGTTGGTGTCCTCCACCACGGTGACGTAGTAATCTCCAGACCTCTTCATGTGCTCGAAGGTTTCTGTGGGAGCAGGCAATTCAGGCTCACAGTAAACTGCAGTTAAATCTGATTTTTGCAGCAGTGTCTGACTGCAAATCACAGGGATGATGCACCCAAGACTCCAGAAAATGAATGCCCCAGAGTCAGATGAACCCATGGAAAAGCAGGAATTACATAATTTTCTTTTCCTTCTTTTCCCAGAAAACCCCCCTTGTTGAGCAGCTCTGCACATGGGCGAAACAATATCACATCATGGAATGTTCTGGGCTGGAAGGACCTTAAAGCTCATCTCATTCCACCCCTTTCCACAGGCAGGGATACGTTCCACTGTCCCAGGTTGCTCCAAGGCCTTGGTGGTGGACACCTCCAGAGGCAGCCACAGCTTCTCTGGGCACCCTGTGCCACCCTCACAGGGAAGAACTGCATGGCAAGGGTTGTCCAGCCCTGGCACAGCTGCCCAGGATGTGGAGTCCCCATCCCTGGAGGGATTCAAAAGCTGTGTGGATGTGACACCTGGGGACATGGAGCAGTGCTGGGTTTGGCTCAGATCCTGTGAATCCCTGAGCTGCCTCCCCACTGCCTGTCTGGCCTGGGAGGAGGATTTAAAGGGAGGATCTAAAGTAGGTTCAAAGAGAGCTGGAGAGGGATTTTGGTCAAGGGACTGGAGGGACAGCACCAAGGGAATGGCTTCCCACTGCCAGAGGCAGGGTTAGACGGGATACTGGGAAGGAATTCTTCCCTGAGAGGGTGGTGAGGGGCTGGCACAGGGTGCCCAGAGCAGCTGTGGCTGCCCCATCCTGGAGAGTGTTCCAGTCCAGGTTGGAGGGGCTTGGAGCAACCCAACTAATTCATCCTTACCAGCTACCTAAAGCTCAGTCTAAAAACCAGTTTCACAATTTCGGCAGCAATTCAAGCAGCCCTTGGGGATAGCTGCAGCTGGATGCAAGGCTGAGTGCCAAGGGGAGCTGAACTCATCCCTCCCTCTGGCATCAGGCACTCACACCTGAGCAGCTTTGCTGTCAGCATCAGGATCCTCTGATTCCCTGCAAGCCCTGTGGAAAAGCCAAGGAATGATGAGGTACTCACTGATGAACTGCTCCGGGCTCACAACTCCTGTTTCTGTCAGCTGACCCAGAACCTTGAAAAAGCCTGGCAGGAAAGGAGGGGGAAAACAACTCTCAGGGAGGGACAGACACACAACCAGCTCCAAAGAGCAAGGAACAACCCAACAGAGCTGTTTGGAGTGGGACCATGGCACCATCACATCGCAGTGGGATGGAAAAATGTTGAAGGATTGGCTAAAGCTCAAGTGAGCCTGGAATAATGAGTCCAAAGCAACCTTTTAATCCAAATTCCAGAACTGAAGGAGAATTCATGCACCAAGATGCTTGTTCATGCTGTTTTGGTATTAAAGGGTACAGTATGAACTGTGCTCCCTCTCCAAAACCATGGTGAATGGGAACTTGTGGATTATTTGGAAGATTTTACTTGAATTTTAGAATTAAAACAGTAAACCAGATTTTCAGGGTCACCCAATGCAGCACCAATCCATGATGCCAAAAGCTCAAATTCAGGGATGTGGTCACACAGGACAAAGCAGGACATGGTCACAGCCCCAAGGCTACCAGAGCCCAAGGGATGTTAGGACAAGGCTCAGGGTGGCATTGTTGGGGTGTCCTGTGCAGATTCAGGGGCTGGACTCAATGATCCCCATGGGTCATTTGCAACTCAGGATGCTCTAAAATTCCATCAAATTGTTTACTGATAAAAATAACCCAAATCAGGAAAAATGAGCAATCCCAGTCTACTGAAAGCTCCTACAGAAACACAAGTTACCAGCTCAGTTCCCCACTGTCATTTCTGGCAACGATAAACCAGGATCCTACCTCGATTTAAATCAGCTGTGCAAAGTGGTCTCAGGACCAGCCCATCCCCTGGATCCAGTGGAGAAATAGCAGGAGAAAAGGCCGTGGTGTTCTCACTCCAGTCGAGTTCCTGCAGGATCCTGGGGTCAAACATGGGCGTGTCATCGGGCATCACGGTGGCCACGGGCATCATGGCTGCAGACAGAATCTGGAATGGAACAGGTGAGGTGTGGTTTAACCTCTAAATAAGCTGTTCCCCCTGTAGCACGCCATGGGATTTGCCTCAGGGATTTCCAGGAAGGTGAACACACTGCTGTTCACTTCACCTGCTCAGCCTTCAGCTCGTGTGTTTATCCTGGGAAAGTCCAGCCTCAAAGGCTCTGAGGAGGCCATTTAACTCCACAGCCCTCTGGGAAGGAAAGCATCACCCCCAAAAAACCTCCCAGCAACCTGCCTAGCCCTCACCTGCACTGCTGTTCAACTGCAAACCTGCTGTGGGAGTAGTGCCCTTTTTCCCACAAATATTTGATGTGCCCATCCCACAGCAGGTGATGGCCCAGCCCAGCCCAGCCTGCCCCTCCCGGGCTGCCCTGTGTGCTCTGTGTGTTTGCAGAGCCCAGCTGCCAAGCACAGCCCCACAGTGGCCATGAAACAGGGACAAGGTGACAGGGAGACACCCGTTAATGATTGAAGAGCTTGGGTTACTCCGGGTGACAAAGGGAGCTTCTTCCTTGTTGTGTTCAGGCTGGACAGGGCTTGGAGCTGCCTGGGAGAGTGGAAGGTGTCCCTGCCCAGGGCAGGAGGTGCACTGAGATGGGCTTTAAGGTCCCTTCCAATTCTGGAATTCTGTGATAAATTCTACGATAAAGGAAAATAATTCTTATCCTGTCCCCTGTGGAATACCTGCTCAGGGTTCTGGTATGAGCAGAGCTCATGAAAACTTCCAATTTCTTTATAGATCTTCAGATTGCCTTAGCTCCACCATCAACACAGCAGTCACACACTAGTGGTCAGGCCAAACAGCAGAAAGAAAAAACTGTTTAGGATGACACTTTTTAAAATAAGACACCTCACAGCCCAAAGAAAGAACAGAATATTTGCTGTGAAGCATCACAGTGTAATGAGCCTCAAAAGTGAAAGTGGCTCCAGAAACCCAACTGAAATCTCTTAACTAAAAAAAAAACCAAAACAAAATCTTTTTTTTTTTATGCCACCTGCTGGTACACACTGGCCTTTGAATCTCAGCTATCACCCTGATTTTGCATATAAAAGTAAAAACATTTGCTGTTACAGCAATTCAACAGCAACACAAACTCTCACCCCATGTGAATTTTCAAAATGAAACAGCAGGAAAGATGAACTGCAAAGAGAAACATTCCTACAGATTTCTCTGTTCCTGCAGCTCAACCAGTCCAATGTCACTTTTCCTCTGTCCCCCAGAATTCCCAAATGTCCATATCAACATTCAAACAGCGTCTGTACAGAATAAAGCAAACCTCAAACTCCAGCTCAGGGTTACAGCACACCAAGAGAAAAGCACAAAGGGAAAATACAATTTTCAATGCTCTAGGAGCAATTAGTGACCAACTAAGAGTCACTTTCCCAAATATTTCTGGCACAGCTGGAGCAGGACAGAGCTGCAAGTTATGCTCATTTTCTGGAGGCAGGAATATGATTTAGGATAATGTCAATTAAAAACAAGAAAAAAGGATTAAGGCGCAGGGAAGGAGAGCTCAGGCCTGTGGGTCATCCTGGTCCCCACATGTGTTGGGAGCAGGGTATGGCCAGGGACCCCCTGAGCTGAGCTGCCATCCCGGGGGACACCCCCAAAACCCCCCGGGAGGGTCACTGGGTGCTCGGCCAGACCTCTGCCAGCCCCCCAGCTGTGGGGCACGGGCTGACAGAGCCCAGCTGTGCCCCTGCAGGGTCCCCAGGGCTCTGCTCAGCTGAAAGAGCCCCGTGGGACAGACCGACCTCCGGAGGGGCTGTCCCCAGCTCGCACAGGGCCCCGTGAGGGGATCCCCTCGACACGCAGCCCTTCGGGGGGCTCTCCTCAACCTCGGGGGGTCCCACACCCCCTCACCCCACACACGGCCTCTCGGGGGTGAGCTCCCCTCAGCTGAAGCTGCCCCTCGGGGGTAGGACCCTTCCCCAAACCAGCCCCTCCACTCAGGGCACCCCCCACTCCACCCGCAGCCCCTCGCTGGAGGTGCATCCCGCTTCGGGATGCGGTCACATCAACCCCGCCACACACGCGCAGCCCCTCAGCGGTGTCCCCGCAGCGCCCCTGAGCTGAAGCAGCCCCTCGGGGGTGGGACCCGTCCCCGGACCGACCCCTCATGAGGGGACCCTTCCCCTCCCGCAGCCCCTCGGGGGTGGGACCCGTCCCCGGACCGACCCCTCATGAGGGGACCCTTCCCCTCCCGCAGCCCCTCAGGGCCGCTGCCCGCACTCACCCGCACGCGCCGCACGCGCCGCACGGACACCCCCCTGGGTGGGCGGGGCCCGGCCCGCCCGCGCGCAGCCAATCGCAGCCGACCGCAGCCGGCCGCAGCCAATCGCCGCCGAGCTCCGCCCTCTGGCCACGCCCCTCCACGGCCCCTCAGCCGGCCTCGCGACCTTTAGGGCCCGGCTCGCTCGCTCGCGCGGATTGGGCGGGAGAGCCGTGGACACGCCCCCTGACTGGTGAGGCCACGCCCCTCCCGCCCCCCCCTCAGGGGCCCGCCAAGATGGCGGGCGGTGGCGTGTGGTGATGGCGGGTCGTGTCGCGGTTCGGTGCTGCCGCCGCTCTTCCCGCCGCCTGAAGGGTTTTTCACCTTCACAAAAGTCTCAGTGGGCTCTTCGAGGGGAAGGGTGAAGGCAGCGAGGCACGACACACACACACACACCCCCCTTGCACCCCCTCAGGGATGCCAAGGCTGAGGCGTTTGATGGCTTTGGAATTTTAGAATCACGGAATTCCAGACTGGGTGGGAAAGGACCTTTAAAGATGGTCTTGTTCCAGCTCCGGCCATGGGCAGGGACACTCCCTACCATCCCAGGTGGCTCCAAGCCCTGTCCAGCCTGGCCTTGGGCACTGCCAGGGATCCAGGGGCAGCCACAGCTGAGGCCTGCCCACCCTCACAGGGAACAATTCCTCCCTAATATCCCATCTAAACCCATCCTCTTCCAATTTAAAGCCATTGCCTCCTACCCTGTCCCTCCAGGCCCTCACTTTGATCGTTTTTATCTCTGGGATTTTTTTGGAGGCTCCATTGCTCTGCTTGGACAGGACCTGTGCAGGGATGGGCCTTGCTCAGCCTCCAAGGCTGACAGACTTGGCTTTCAATTCCTTTTCAATAAAAAACCTCAACTTTGGGGTCATCTCAAGAGACGGTTTTACAAATAGCTGAGGTCAGGGCGCGCACATAGCCTGCGGCAGGAGAACTGGTGAACGCAAAAAATTACACAAAACACTTGTGAGACATGATTCTCATTTTCCATGTATCTCCCCTGTTATTTTACCATCAGAATGAATCATTCTGTAACCATGGAAACAATCAACATTCCTTATTTTTTGACTTCTTCAGGCCCAGAGTGACCAGATGACACACCCTGACCTTCCACACCCAAAATCTGGGGGCGAAGCTCCCAGACAGCAGCCAGATGAACGCTGCAATATTTAACCTTTTATTGTGAGGGAAAGGCACAAACTGGGTGTGAGTTTCCCCTCCTGTCCCCTCTCATTTGTTTTGAGGGATTCAGAGGAGTGGGAATGTCCCATCCATGCTAAAAATGAATATTTTATTGTGCTGCTTTGCCTGGTTGAACAGGGACACTGGGAGTGTGGACACATTCCCATGGGGTGAAAAATGCCAGACAGAGCTTTAGCTTAACTCCCACCACAGTGCCTTCTCCTGGATGGAAAGATTTTATGGATTTGAGGTAGATTTTACACTTTGTGTGAGTAAGAGTGGAAAATCAATGCTTTCTGAAATCAAAGCCATGCCATAACAAGGCCACGACCACATGGGGTCAGCCCAGCTTTCCCCACGGAGGCTCGGAGCAGAGCTCCTGCACCTGCAGCGGGAAATGCAGCGATTTTTGGGCAGTTCTTCTCCAGGAGCATCCTCCCAGTTTCCTGCAATGCCTGTGGAGGGACATCCTGAGCCAGCAGACGCATCTGGCCTGTGGGGTTTGGCAGCTGGGCTGTGCACTCTGTGTGTGTAACTCAGCTTCCAGCCTCCAGCGCTCCTGTGCAGCAGTGGAATGTTGAAAAATGAGGGGAAAATCCTTTATTTTGGTTAAAACTCTTGCTCTGCCCCAGCAAGGCTGAGTTTGTCAGTCCTGGAGACCAGTGCTGTCCTGGCACAGAAGCTGACAAATCTTTTTCCCTGTGGATTTTTTAGCAGCAAGAGTCTAAACCAGAGCAGGGGAATGATCTGGATGGGAAAACCTTCCTTGTCATTGCAGGCCCTTGTAAATAATCTTTCTCCATGTTTTTTTTGTAGGCTCCCTTCAGGCACTGGATGCTGCAATGAGGTCACCCTGAAGTCTCTTCCAGGCTGAACAATCCCAATTCTCCCAGCCTTTCCTTGGAGGAGAGCTGCTCCATCCCTCTGATCATCTTGGGCTCGCTCCAACAGCTCCATTACATTGATTGGTGTTCCCAGTAGGTCACTCTGAAGTCTCTTCCAGGCTGAACGATCCCAATTCTCCCAGCCTTTCCTTGGAGGAGAGCTGCTCCATCCCTCTGATCATCTTGGGCTCGCTCCAACAGCTCCATTACATTGATTGGTGTTCCCAGGATGGGAAAAACTGGATCAGGGATCAGCCACTTTTGCTGAGTCCACACATGAAATGGGCTTTGCTCCTTCTCTGCTGAGCAAGGACAGGACCCAGGGAAGGGCTGGAGCTGTGCCAGGGGAGTCGAATTGGATATTAGGGAATGGTTCTTCATCCAGAGGGTGCTGGCACTGCCCAGGGAATGGGTTCCAAGGCCGACAAGGATCCACAGCTCCCTGCTATCTCTGAGGCCAGGATTTGGCTGCTGAAGACCGAGGGGAAAGTTGAAATAACACCTTTCCACTCTTTCCTCATTTCCACATCTCCTCTCTGCCTGTTCCACTGTGACATTTTCTGTTGCTGTGGGGAAAAAAACTCCCAAAACTCCAGCAAAGTGATCTCCTTTGGCTGCTCTGGATTTGTCAGCAGGGAAATTGCAAATCCATGACTGTGGGACAGCCAGGAAGATGGGAAGGGAGCCATGCACTTGTTTGATGTCAGTGTCAGAGCCTGAACACACCCTGCTTTATGAGGAGAGGAAAAAGTGCTCTCCTTTTCCTTCGGCTGCATGACACAAGGCAGGAAGAGCAGAGGAATCCTTGCCACAATAAAAGTGTTTACATTCTGTTTTGGAAACATGCTCAGGGCTTGGAATACCCAGGGAATCGGCCTCTTTGGCTCTTTTAACCTCTCACAGCCAGGGCTGTACCCAGCCACAAACAAATCCTGAGAGGTGGAAAAGTCAGAAGAGCTGCACAAACCAGCTCCAGGCACCTGGATTTTGCAGAGGATGCAGTGCCTGGTTTTCTCCTGGAGAGAAAGATGCTGCTCTGTCTCCCCAAGTGTTTCCTGCAGACAGATAATGAGATACTAAATATCTGCTCCAGCTTAATAAAGTCAAGAGGAAACCTGGCAAAGCTCTGCTGCCATCCAGATGGCCTCCTGGGCCTGGAAAATGGCATTTCCTTGGGGTTTGGGATAGTGTTAGTGCAGTTATGGAAGGAGAAGTGCATCTGGACCATGTCTGCCTCGCTGGAAATAATTATCCCATCTTTAACCAAGCAGCCAAATGTAATTTAACTGCCCAGAAAGTTTTCAGAGCCACAGGGGTGTTGCAGCCCCAGCCTGCCATCCATGGAGGCTGGGAGTGTTTGGTGTCT